ATAAGGCGGAGCCCCCTTATGGTGATATGGGTCACTGGGAGAAGCGTAGCGAACGTGGGACACGACCTACATCAATGAGAATTGGCACAGATATATATCAATATCTAATGCCTTACACGATTTAATATGAAAGACCTGTTCCTTTTATTTCACAAAAAATTTTGTATTTGAAGATGCCTTATATATACCAAAGATTTTCAAAATGAAGTTCGATTGAAAAAAGCAAAATAGTTGGATGGAAATGTAGGCCAAGATGTCTTCCAAATTATAAGGCCGGAAACGGAACTCAAAGATATGTCCAAATAACTAATTTAATAATAAATAGACACACACATCGGAAAATTAAAAACTCGGATTTTTCGACGCCGACGCCCATTTCCGATACAAAAAAAGTAGTAGTCTCCCTTGTTTTATCGAAGTATCTAAGCATAAGGATCGATTTAGGTTTCAGGTTAGGCACAGGGATTGATTTAGTTTAGGTTTAGTGTAGGGACTTCGATGAAGCAAGGGAGACTACTAAAATATTTGTATGGGAAATAGGCGTCGGCGCGCGAAAATCCGAGTTTTTAATTTTTTGATAATGGAACTATTTCATTCATAAAATAATTACTATATCCCAGAATTGTGTTCCTCTTCCGGCCTTTTGCTTTAGAGGACATCTTGGCCTACATTTTAATCAATTTCTTTTTCATTTACTATCGGTCAGCTTTGAGAAAATCCTTGGTAAATATAAGGCAACTTTCATCATTAAAATTAAGTCGAAGTGAAAGATTTGTCACTACCAAATTTTTTTTGCATCTGGGGAATGTATTGATGTACATACATGTATGCCAATTTTCACAGCGATATGTGTTTTACGAGAGACGCCATGTTTCTATGGGTTCGCAGCAGATCATGCAGTTCCCTCAACCCGATTTCGTCATGGGGTGGGCCACGTCCCCTTTTTAATGGCGGAAGTTGCCGATACTTAGGAAATATTTATTTCCACTATTTACATCAAAACATCAAAATATTTGATAACTTGTGTTTCAGAATGCATTTTGAAGACCTTTAAACTGGAATGTATTTGAGCTTCAAAAACCTGGTAGAGTCCATATTATAAATGATCAGAATTTA